AAATAAAAGCTATTTATAACCAGTAGAATCATATTATATTTAATATATATGTATACCTACTATAGTGATAATTTAACAATATTATTAAATGAATACCCATACCCGTATAACTGAACGCAGCAACGTATATTATAATATTATAACACTTCTAAGCTATAAGTTACAACTCTAATGTTGAATAAGTCAATATACATAATATCAATTATGCATTCGTATTTTTCTAAGAGAAATCATTACCAAAGTGGTTTAAAATTTTAAACTTCAATACTATTCAGTTTTTACGGGAAAAAAATTTCTTATTGTAGACGTAATTTTCATGGGGCGCATCGTGCATCTGCCCGGTTGCCCGGTAGGCCAGTACGGGCCTGTATACATACCTATAATGATATTGAAATAGATTAAACATCGAAGTTAAATATTTGATACATATATATATTATGTTGTCGAGGTTTTATTAAATATAACATTTTTAAAAATATTTAATTTAAAATGACATAATTTTTATAACTTTATATTGCTGATGAAAATGTAATATGTTTAAAAGAAGACCCGTGTGTGCTTAAATTTTTATTGTGTTACATATCCTGTTAAGTTTAGTGTTGGTTTTAATAAGACACCTGCGCTATATTCATTTAAATTAAAACATGAGAGATAATGTTCGTTACGTTTATATTTTAGAAATATGTTATTTCATAAGTTTATTCATAAATATAATATTTAAAAAACAATATTATTAATAAGTAAATATATACGAATTGTATTAGAATTTGAGATTTGAATATTTGATCATATTAACTTTGTTTCGTTTTATATCATATTTATAATTTGTACCTATATAACGTGAAACCATTGCGATGACAATTTATTCGTATGTACGGACAAAAAACTCCCTGCGACACGATTACGCCCCTTTTACCTTTTTACATTTAAAAAACGTAACATGATTGCACCCCTCTGGTATTGGTTCTTTTAATAATTTTCTTTCCTGATTTTACAAAATTAAGATTGACGAAAAAAAAAAATTGTTGGATTTGTTGAAAATTTTTTTGATTTTTATCTATAAAAACTACATAATATGCCTATTTACGTATTTTACATTAAATACTTGGTTATTATATGTTGTAGCTTCATAGAATATTGGTTTTGAAAATTGTATGTTTTTATTTTATACATTATATTGGGAAAGCAAAAGTGCTTATTTTGTCATGTGTTAATATTTTTAAATAATCTAATTGAAAATTGTTAAAAGATAAAGCTTATATTACATGGAGCCCAATCGTTTGCGTTTTTTGTAGGTAATAGATAAAAGGGGTGCA